CGCCCTCATTGGTCCTGGTGAGAGAAGAGCAAATTGATGCCATTCCTGTTGGCTGCTAGCACAGCGGAGGCTGCTTCCTTCTGAGCTCCTGTAGCAGATTCCAAACCCAAATTTGCTTTCATTGAGTTTTCTTTTCCTCATTTGTACCCAGGTGAAGGTCCCTACCCATGTCAGGAAACAAACTTCAGAGGATTCACTGATAATACACAAGTTTGCTTGTTTCCCTTCCAGAGATCCTTATATACTATAAACCTTAAGTAAATGAATGCATAAATATATATACTCATATAGAGTAACTTTTCAAAAATATATAATGTTCATCAGAAAAAAACAAATATGTAAATATTAGCATTAAAAAATGCAAAGCAGCCAGAAAATGATCCTTCATATATGCATTTTCCATTTTGAGGGTTTTTTTGGCTTGAGCTTTTGTCTTGAGAGGCATTAAGGGGACATGCAGCAGAATTCAGGGTTTACTCCTGATGTTCTCAGAGGAGCTTATGCAGTGCCAGGGATTGAACCTAGGTAGACCATGTGGAAGACAAGTACCTTAACTCTGAAATTATCTCTCCAGCTCCAGAGATGCATTCTCCCCCACACCCCCATTTAATTTTAGTTTCACATACTACTGAAGAAGTACACCCTGAGATTCTGTCAGTGATCCACTGCATGAAAATACTTGATTAATCATAAAGGAAGAGCATAAACTGTTGGCTCACAGAATAAAGGCAGGAGTAGTCTAGGAAACAGAAGTGCCTTGAGGCATGGTTGCAAAAGCTTGCTGAGAAGATGACTGGAGGAGGACTTAGGAGTAAGAGGACACCCAGGTTTTGAGCCAGAAAAGATGGCAAGAATGTCTGAAGTAGATATACCTCTAGATCAAGAATATAGTGGACTCCTGGAGTCCAGCTTTATTGGTAGGATGCTTTGTGGGGGGTATTAAGCTCATCCAGAGACACTGTGTAGATCAGGTGGAAACAAAGGTAAGGATCAGAAGGTTGAATTATTAGCCTTGAGCAAGATTATCCCCGAGGGTTCTTAATGATGCTGTTATTTAGGAAAATGTTGCTCAGTTGAGGCATGTGTGTTTGAGTGCTTGGACTTATTTCCAGTGTTGGCTTTCTTCCAATCCTGGTAATCCTCTGAGGTTTCAGAAGGAGAGAATTTTTTTCCCCTCTCTGTTCCTCTGGAGTAACTGGTTTGTGTATGATTTAATTATCTTATTAGTTATTTTATCGCCGTGTACCAGCACAGCCACCTTACAAAGGCTCCCTTCGAGGATTGTGCCAGGATTTTCATAATTGTTTCTTCCTCTATTAGCAGGGAAATTTCTTGCTAAAAGCCAAACTAGACTGACTCCATTTTCCATACTTTCTGGATTGTCCTTAATGCCTCTCAAGTATTATCCAATGGTTTAGAGTAACAAGAACTGAGATAAATGATGAGATTCAAAGAGGAATTAAAGGCTTGAGGATGTGTAGGGAAGCTGCATATTTGAGATCACCTTGGACGATATTTTCATCAAAGTGCATTTTGGAAGGTTTTTCTGAGGACAGAGAGTGAGGAGGGACTGTATTCTCTGACTATATGTTGCTCCAATGTCTCTCCTTTGGGCTGACTTTACTTATGGACAGTCTCATTTCATGCTTATCTACCGTGCTCTGCATGGGGCGATGTTGCTGCGTGGTATACAGCTGTGTGAATGTGAATGTGGTTAATTAGTGAGATATGAATTTCAGATCAAAACCCACTCTCCAGCCCCATCTCGTGTTTGGTGGAATTGAAGGTTTCTCAGTGAGTACTGCAATCCCTTTAATACCTTCATTGTTAAAGTAGGCTTTATGTAGCCAGAGAGGTAGAGCAGAGGTAATGACTTTGCCTTGCTCATCACCAACTCAGGTTCAATTCTGGCACTGCATTGGTCCCCCTGGCACCACTAGGAGAGTGATTCCTGAGCATTGAGCCAGGAGTAGCCCTGAGCACCACTAATCTTGGCCTCCTCCTTCCCCAGCCAAAAAATAAGCTTCATCAAATCCATCACCAAATTTTAATTTGAATGAAATTATTCAATCCGGTCCAAGTATACAAGTCCTTTAGTGCAGCTGGGGGCAGTGGAAGCATCTCCAATGACCTCTTTTTTGTTGCATTCCCCAAATTCTCATTTGTGGCATTCTACAGACTATCTCTCATGCTGCTTTTGCTGCAAGACCTCAGTAATTAGACTTGGGCATCCAAGGCAGTGTTTTCTTTCATTCTTTTTATTTTTTTTTATGAGTAAAACCATTTCAGCTTTTCTTAAGGGGAATCATTTTTAGTCTCTGAAGTCATCCATATAAATAGCATACTTTGATATAGTAGGTTTTGATTTTTTTCTCATAACAAGAAAAAGAGAAAATTGTACTTCTGTAGAAAGTTTTCACAGTCCCACAAGCTTTGCTAGCCTCTGTTTTCAGATCATTGGCAGTGCCAGAAAACCTAATGTCAATATACCAGGATTTTTTTGGGGGGTTGGGAATTTTTATTAAGAGTAAAAGCATCCTGACTCATGAGATGGGGTATAAGGCAGCTGGGATAGAGAAGGGATCACTGAGTCAATGGTGCTTGGAAAGATCGCTTGGGATGGGCGATGTGTGCTGAAAGTAGATAAAGGACCAAATGTGATGATCTCTCAGTATCTGTATTGCAAATCATAATGCCCCTAAGTAGAGAGAGAATAAGAAGGAAATTGTCTGCCATAGAGGCAGGGGCAGGTATAGTGGGCGTGGGGCATGGGGGGGGTTACTGGGGACATTGTGGTGGAAAATGTCCACTGATGGGAGGGATAGGTATTTGATTATTGTATGACTGAAACTCAATCATGAAAGCTTTGTAACTGCATCTCATGGTGATTCAATAATAAAAAAATAGATTTTTTTAGAAAGCTCATTAAAAAAAGAATAAAAGCATGTCATGCTTTATTACACTCTGGAGAGAGGGTGTTGGTTTTTGTTTGTTTTGTTCTTTTTTTTTTTCCCAAAAAGCAAATTAGAGGTTTGCATATTGTAGAGCAAGTTTATTAGTGCCATATCTGTGGGTGGTTCGGAGTTGATTGGTGTCACACTAAGCAGTGCTCAGGGACTCTCCTGGTTCTGTGCTCTGGGGTCATGAGTGGCAGTGCTTGGGAGATCGTGTGTGGTTCCAGGAATTAACAGGTTAGCAAGGCAAGTGTTTTAACCCATGTTCTATCTCTGTGACCCCCTGAATTATTCTTTTAGAAAAATTGCTGTTGCATAGTCAACAAACTACTTATCATGCAAACATCACTGTCACTGTCCTCCTGTTGTTCATCGATTTGCTTGAGCGGGCTCAGTAACGTGTCCATCATGAGACTTTGTGGTTACTGTGTTTGGCATATCGAATACATCACAGGTGGCTTGCCAGGCTCTGCCGTGCAGGCGAGATATTCTCGGTAGCTTGCCGGGCTCTCCGAGAGGGGCGGAGGAATCGAACTCGGTTCGGCCATGTTGGCTGCATGCAAGGCAAACGCCCTACCAACTGTGCTATCGCTCCAGCCCTCATGCAAACATAACTTTTATATGTTTATTTATTTATTTGCTTTTGGGGTCACACCCCATGTTACACAGGGTTACTCCTGCTACTCCTGGCTCATGCACTCAAGAATTACTCCTGGTGGTGCTCAGGGATGCTGGGAATCAAACCCAGGTTGGCTGTGTGCAAGGCAAACGCCCTACCCACTGTGCTATTGCTCCAGCCCCAAACGTAACTTTTATATTTACCAGAAAGCCAAAATATTTCTGCAGCTCATTTTACTGTGATTCCTCTTTATTGCTGCAAATGTGTACCAAACTCAAGTCTTTGAGGTACCTCTCATTTCTGGCGTGTGAAACTGTTCTGTTCCTCCGGAAATGCTTCCAGGGCAGTCTGTGTTGTCAGACTCTGCTCTGCTATCCACTGTCTTCTGATGACTGTGACCTTGTACCTATCCCTGCCCCCTTAGTGGCCCTGCAAGGACATCCCCTCCCCTCTGTTGCTTTTCATTGTCATAGGCTCACGAAATAATGATAGTAAAATGTCTCCTAGCTAGCTGTTTATTAGCCAGCTTTAATGGTCTTGCTCTCTGTTAGTAATGGTAATTTGCTCTCTTGGAATTGTGTGACCAACTTTGACAGGAAGCCTGAACATCAATATTCCTCAGTACATTTTTTCTGTCTTACCTACACTAGGAATTATGTATTTTCCTCATTTTCTCGGGTCAGCATTGTCACAGCTATTCCTGTCAAACCTGGTGCTTTTCTCCTCCCCGCAGTCCTCTAAACTCCCTCCATTGACAGAACAATCCATCTTCCCAAAAGGCTCACACAAAATCATTGAACATTTTCTCTTGTGTTTATTTTTTCCTTTTATCTCTTTCCCCAATTGGTTTTATCACCTTGCTCCCGGAGATAGTGCGAAGGGAACAGCCAGAAGATGAGGGAAAGTTTTGATCAATTAACCTTAAAATATCAGTTGCATTCCTAATTCTGAGACAAATGATTAAGTTATGTGGTTCAAATGCCATGCTATTTTCTTCTCAGACAGGACAAGGCAGATAACGAATTGTTCCTGTCCTTTTGCTAAATAATCACAGAGGTACCTTTTCACTGTCATTCCCCTGTAGCAGTGCTCAAATCTTTCAACTTTCTGGTGTTAGACTCCCTCCCCTATTGGTCCTGAGTGTGTGGAATAAATGAGTAAGGAGTAAGTCCGTATAAAGTACTTTGAGGACACATAGAAAGTGTAATCATGTATTCTGTGGGACATTTGATTTTTTTGTTTGTTTGTTTCACCTAAGAGATACCTGTATCAGGATTGCTAGCAAAAAAGCTGGAAGTCTGACTAGTAATAATCCACTAAGCATAGTACTCATTGTATGCCAGTAACAATGCTCAAGGCTTTCTGCACATGTTAGTTTATTTAAAGATGGACAAGCATACTTAGTATCTCTGATTTATCTTTTCCAGGTTGAAAATTGGTGTCCTCATTTACCTTGGAGAGCAAAAAATCCCTATGAAGAAGCTGATCATAATTCATTGGTAAGTGACTTCAGAAACCTCTTACTAAATCTTGTGATGTGGGTCTAATGCCAAATGATATAAGTGAAAGCTTCAGAAATGTCAGCTGTCATCTGAAATAGTATTAAGGTGAAGATCTTCTGCCTCCCAGTCCAGTGGAAATCTTAGTGACCAAATCAGTTAACAAGGTAACATCAGCTGATTGATTGCACCATTCTCTGAGGTCTGCTAAGTAATTGGCTAGGGGTGTGAGTAAGACCTGGAGCCAGGTATGGAAACACTGAGTGATGTAAGGAGGGTGATGGTTGTCAATATTGACCATGCCTGTGTAAACACTGTGATACAAACCCTTGGAAGTTAACCAGGAAGGGACAGACTCACTGCAGGGCTCAGAAGATATTGTAAGAAAAAGAGACTGCAGGAATGATTGGAACTGAATGTAAAGTGATGTATAAGTTTATGCCGAATCAGAGAGACAGGTTTCTGTGCTATGAAGGAGGGAATGAAACTTGTCAGAGAGCTTGGGGGAGAAGAGCCTACTATGGTAGAACCAGGACACATGGATTGGATAAGTTGATGAAAATAACACTGAAAAAGTAGGTAGGGGCCATGCGTGGCTTTATTCATTGAAGCTTAAGTCTCTATTGTTTCGAGCAGGGATCAGAAAACTTTTTTCTGTAGAAAGTCAGGTAGTAAATATTTTCATCTTTGCAGGTCATTAGGTCTCTGAAACAACTACTCAATTCTGACCTTTTTGCACAGAAAACAGTCATAGATAATATGTAAATGGTATGAGTCCTCCAATAAAACTTCATGTACAAAATCGATAAGGGAAGATTTTCCCCAAAAGCCACAGTTGACAATTCTCTTTTAGGCTGTGGGAAACTGAGGAAATTGTCGAGTCTAGGGTGACAGATGAGTGTTTAGAATAAACTCTCATGACTAAGGCAAAGGAATTCAGCATGTTCTAAATATTACATAAGTAAATAATTGTTTTTCCTGTATTTCAATCACTGCCTGTTTTCCCCTTATCTTAGAAAAAATGCTCTTAATTTTTCTGTATTGAATTTTTTAATTTATTCAGTTCTAGAGGAAAAATGGAATTCCTGGTTTTCCAATTCCTGAAAAAATAATGAACTTGGGGCTGGAGTGATAATTCTGCAGGTAGAGTGTTGGTCAAGCATGTGTCCAACACGGATCTGATCCCTGGCATACCATTTGGTCCACCAAGCCTGTCAGGACTGATCCCTGAGCAAAGAGCCAGGAATACACTCTGAGCTCTGCTGGGTATGGCCCCCAAACAAAACAAGCTAACAAAAATAATGAGCTCTTGTTTAGTCTGGAAAAAAAAATAGGTGAACATTCATTTTCCCTCGTGATAGATGGAGTAAAACTTTTTGGCAACCTGTAAAATTCCTTCTTAAGAATGGATTTCAGTTTTCCTGGGAGTCTGTTGCCCTGAAATAGATTCAAAGGCCGAATACATTTGGGAGTAGAAAATTTTAAGGTGTATCAAACACACTCTTTCTTTAAAAAAAAAAAAAAGCATAATTTTAACACAACCCAGGGCTCTGCAGCAACCAAGTTGCCTCCCTAAATTTCTAATCTTTTAATGACGTCTCTCATAGCACATCAGCAACTAGGACCTTTGCTTCAGTTTGCAGTCTTGAGATGCTAACATAAGCAGCCCAGCTTCACTCTTGAAGTCCTCTCTCTAATTGATTATCTTTTCTGGGTATTCAAAGGCTACCTTAGGAAAACTATTATGTTTTCTGATTGACTTTTTTATCTTCTGTTCATTTTTATTAAATTTCTGTTTCTAGGCAGAAATCCGTACGGATTTTAATATTCTCTACAGTATGATGAAAAAGCACGAGGAATTCCGGTGGATGAGACTTCGGATACGGCGAATGGCTGATGCTTGGATCCAGGCAGTCAAGTCTCTGGCAGAAAAGCAGAATCTTGAAAAGAGAAAAAGGAAGAAAGTAAGTCACTGATTAATTCAGTTCAGTTAGCTGGAAATCTTCTTTTAACTTTTATTTGTACTTGGAAACAAGACTGAGAGAAATATCACATCTCAAAGCCTCTGTCCCCTCAGGATGATCTCTTATTCTGCCATTTTGGGGTTTTCCTTTACCCAGTTTAACAGGCACCGGCACCCAGTTTGACAGCGATAAATTTTCCCTGGGAACCATCTGATTGTATCAGTGAGGTTCAGATGCTCTAGCTCTTATTTTCCTGAATAGAACTTTCTAAAACTTCCTGAACATTTTCTGAATTTGGGTATTTATCCATTTTTTTGATTTGGGAGAATTCCATTACTCTCCAGTTTGGCACTTTCTGATGGATAACTATTATAAGTTAAACTTCAGCATGTGTACTTGCATGTCATATGAAGACGCATGGAAATACCCCTTTAGAATACCCCTGATTATGGAAAATCTAATACTCTAGAAGTGACAAAGATTTCATTGCCTTAGATGAGCTGTGCTTATGAAGAACAACAGAGAAACTTACAGAGAAACAAACAGTCTGCTCTTTCATCTAAAAGTAAATGAGAACCAGCCCTGTGTTCCTCATTCACTAATTAGATACTCTTGTTAAAGAAAATACAAATATGTTTGTAAAACCCCACTCTCAGTTTGATGGGTCAGCTTTGCTTCTATTCCTTGAGTTGATGAGACAGCAGCTGGCATGCTGGCACCAAATACAAGGAGGAGTATATAGATAGAATCCAAGTGTTCTGTAAAAGAAATAAAAATGCCTTTTAATATAAACTATATAGTAATATTTAAGGCATTGTTTTCTGAAGAAAGGTTAGATGGCTAATAGTGAACATTAATTTTTAAAAGTACAGAATTTATTTTTCTGCCAATACATATACCACATATAAACATACAGCTGCTTAGATATATGCATATACTTGCTCATATTTTAAGTTGAAAGGATAAATCATCAAATTAAAAATAAATAATAGTGATAATCATTGCTAATCATAATGAATATATATAATGCCATTGGACTCTAATCTCAAATATAGTTAACATGATGAATTTTAAACTATGTATAGCACTGTAGCACTGTCCTCCCATTGTTCATCGATTTGCTCGAGCGGGCACCAGTAACGTCTCACAACAAATTGTGAGACTTGTTGTTACTGTTTTTGGCATATCGAATTTGTCATGGGGAGCTTGCCAGGCTTTGCCGTGCGGGAGAGATACTCTAGGTAGCTTGCCAGGCTCTCCGAGAGGGGCGGAGGAATTGAACACATGGCCGGTTGCATGCAAGGCAAACACCCTAGTCACTGTGCTACATTGCTCCAGCCCAAACTATGTATATTTTATACAATAGGAGAAGGTGAGAAGGAAGAATTGGAGTAATGGGTAGAAAAACTAGATTTCTGAATATAAACCAAGCAATACCAGAAAATCACAGAAAATAAGGCAATTAACTCCTCCTTATCTGGTTTTACTCTAAGTGACATGACTTTGTGACTTTAGGACACACCACATTTAGTCATTCTGATGGGGTAGCAATGGAATGGAAAACTACAGAAAATAATCTTGAAGTGATTATTACTTATGCGCTTGATGTTAACATAAAATTCTCTCATTCCGATTCCATTATATGTTGGAGTAAAGCACATGAGTAATGATGTTTGTGTCCTTAAGAAGTAGAATTTTTAGTGTGGGAGAGCGGAAGTAGCAGGGATAAGATGGATAATGTTATATAAAGATATTGTAATCCTTAGTTGGATTTGAAAAAGCAATATGAATGCAATTTGTCTTATCCTTGAAAATAAATTTTACAGCTATGACTACCAGAAATACCTATAGAAAGTGGTACACTAGAATTATCTAAGCCTGAGACTTGTATCTCTAAATTCATATGTGGGTCTTGGAAAAATTACTTAGGTGCCGGGCGTGGGGGTGGGTGGGTATGGTTGTGTGTGTGTGTGTGTGTGTGTGTGTGTGTGTGTGTGTGATAACTTGGAACATCTTGTTATGCCAGTAAACAAAGGAACTATCAAAGACTGCTAAAACTGAATTAAAAATTTAGAAGTCAAATCAAAAGACCTTCCATTGTTCAACAATGAGAGTTGAATAATCTGTAAGGCTATTAACTGCAATGTATTGAAACACATCAATATACCTTTATTCATAATTTAATAGACTGGGGGAAAAGTCTCTTTGATCATTATTAAATGAGTATGATACATTATTGTTATTATGAGAACTACCATGTAAAAAGAAAGAATAAAGAAAATATCAGGCTATTCAAGTAAAGTATATCTTGGACGAATCTCAAAGTTGATAAGATATAGTTACTTTTTTAATAGTCCAACTAGTAAGTGAAGAAGCAATGGTAGGATATTATCATTTTGCAAGCCCTAATGGATTAATGGATCTACTTAGTAATCACTAGTAATTGCTGGTAGCACAAAAAGAGAGATACCCAGACATTTGTTCCTATTAATGGAAGTACATAGCATCACTTATCACAGTATTATCAAAAAGCAAAAATGAATGTTATTATTTGTATAGCTATAATTATTAAATTGCCATAAGTAGAAGGAATAGAAGCATTTGTTATACAATCAGCAAAAATTCAGAGTGTGAGAGACTCTTGTGAAAATTCAACCCAGTTTCTTGGACAAATAAATTGTTATTTTTTTCCCCCAAATAGATCAAGGACTACGGTAGGTTAAAGAAAACAAAGTGATTCTGAGGCAGTTGTAATAGATGCACTTTATTGGACTCCTTCCCTTAACAGTTGCAATGAAAGGAAAACAAAACTGTAAGGACAGTTGAGGAAATACAAGTTTTGCCTCAGTATTGGATGACATTAAGAAAGCTCTTTTACAGAGATTTGATAATATCATGACTTTAAAAAAAACAACACTGAAGACTTCTTTTAGAAAATATACTGAAATGTTTATAGATGCAAATATAAAATGTCCAGAGGCAAATTGGAGGAGCTTTGAGAGATTGAGGGGCATATATTTAGATTTGTCAGTGCCGCAAAGAACTCAAAAGCAGGAGCACAGGCTTTGCATGCTATAGACCCAGGTTCAATCCTGTCCCCTAAACACTTCTGAAAGTGACTCCTGATCACTAAAATACCAACAAAGATTTTTGTCATGATTTAATAATTTTTGGAGTTACACGTAAGTATATAGAAATTAACTATATTTATCACTGTTTTGAGTGCATTTTTAATTTTCTTGCATTTTAAAAAAAATATCCATCTTTAAGGGCTCAGATTAGTACCAGGAATTTTGCTCCATGACTTGAAGGCCAGCCACATGTGCTAGGTGAGAAGGAAACTCAGATAGAGAAGAGAGCACCAAATAAAGGGTGTTGTGAAGACCCTCCCAGGGTGGGAGAGACATGCTAAAAGTGGTCTATAGACCAAACATGACTGCCACTCAATGCCTCTCTGGCAAAACACAGTACCCAAAAGAAGAGAGAGAGAACAGGGAGGAATGCCCTGCCACAGCGGCAGGGTGGGACGGGGGGGGGGGGGGGGGAGGATGGGGGGGTCGGAGGGATGATAGGACCCGTGGTGGGGGAGGATGGGCACTGGTGGAGGATGGGTACTTGATCATTGTATAACTGAAACCCAAGCACAAAAATTTGTGAGTCTATAAGTATACTTCATGGTGTTTCACTAATAAAAAAAATGATAAAAATATATATATATATCCATCTGTAAAAGAGAGCCCAATACTGTTAAAGAGATTTTATTTTCCTGGCTTCCTTTCCTATCACTTTGACCTTTCACTTGATTGTGCTTTTCTTCTTTTTTCTGTTTTTCTTTCTTTACGTTCCTCCCTTCCTTCCTTCCTTCCTTCCCTTCCTTCCTTCCTTCCTTCCTTCCTTCCTTCCTTCCTTCCTTCCTTTCCTTCCTTCCTCCCTCCCTCCCTCCCTCCCTCCCTCCCTCCCTCCCTTCCTTCCTTCCTTCCTTCCTTCCTTCCTTCCTTCCTTTCCTTCCTTCCTTCTTCCTCCCTCCCTCCCTCCCTCCCTCCCTCCCTCCCTCCCTCCCTCCCTCCCTCCCTTCCTTCCTTCCTTCCTTCCTTTCCTTCCTCCCTCCCTCCCTCCCTCCCTCCCTCCCTTCCTTCTTTCCTTCATTCCTTCCTTCCTTTTTTTCTTTCTATTTTGGGGCTATACCTGGAGATGCTCAAGACTCCTGGCTCTGTACTCAGGAATTGCTCCTGATGGTGCTCAGGGGACTCACATAGAATGCTGGGGATTGGACCTGGGTCAACAATGTGCAAAGTAAATGCCTTACCAGTCTCCTATCTCTTCAGCCCCAGTCATGCTTTTTAAAAGCAGGATTATCTGCTCATATTTTACACTCATTTAACACTCATGGTGTACCAAGTGACTTGATTTTACCGAAATAATCATAAAAAAAATTTTCCTCCTTTCATTTTATCATCTAAAAATATGGTTTATTCCACTCTGAGATTTAATTAGAGCATAAAAATGACTACAATTGATTGATGCCTTTTTGGTATGCTTCTGAGGAACATATGCTTGATTCAGTGGGAATCAGGATATACCTCTTTTGTGTTTTTTTTCCAGGTCCTCGTTCATCTGGGACTCCTGACGAAGGAATCCGGATTTAAGATTGCAGAGACAGCGTTCAGTGGTGGCCCTCTTGGTGAATTAGTTCAGTGGAGTGATTTAATTACATCTCTGTACTTACTGGGCCATGACATTCGGATTTCAGCTTCACTGGCTGAGCTCAAGGAGTAAGGAGATTACTTTTCAATTTTAAAATCAGAATACAAAAAAGAAATTGTAAACTCCTAAAGCCCTCTATTAGTGTATAATTTCTTGTGGAGGAAAATGAAAGTGATAATTCACTAAACAGGAGATAAGATTATTTTCAGGAGCTAAATACATACACTGTGAAAAGGATAATATGTTTTCATTGTAGCTGCAGGCTCCAGAGGCTTCATAAATGAATGCCAGAAAATTCAAACTAAGGAGCTTATTCTTTGCTATTACAGGTGCTTCTAACATCTGCAGCACAAAAACATTATTGACTTTCCTAATTCCCTGTCTCTTGCTGAAATTCATACCTATCCCTATTCAACATCAGGCTTTCTAAATCTTAAAGCAGGGTAGCTTCCTGTTTATAATTTAATTTGGATAGAATAAATTTTCTGAAAGCCCTGATCCCATCCTTTTTCAATTAGTCAACTTTCAGCTATTAGCTCTAGGAGAGTTTAATAGAGTCTATTAACTATCTGGGTTTTCTCTTTTACTAAAAGTTGCTTCTCTCCAGCCTTCTCTTAATTCCTTTGATTGGGAGAGCTGGCTAAGCAGGCATGCGCAAATTCTCTTTTCTCCTTTTGGATAACTACCCACTGAGACTTTCTACCCAGCAGCCAAGTTATCCTGTTGCAGTAAGTCAAATGTTCTAGAAAATATACCTTGAATAGACATTTTAGACATGGCAGCTTGTTTTTGAACAATATAATCCCATCTTACTCCTGCTTTACTGACATTCAGGGATGTTCCTTCTTGACATTCAGGGATGCTACTTGTTTTTATCAAAGTATACACCCAATTAGTGGTGAGAGAAATATGTATAACATTACTAGCCATCATTGGTTGAATGGTTCCGTATGTTGAAACAATGATGAGAGTTTTAATTATAGTAAACAATTGGAAGCAGGAAGCACTCTCCTCCCGTTGTTCATCGATTTGCTCGAGCGGGCCCAGTAACATCTCCATTGTGAGACTTGTTGTTACTGTGTTTGTCATATTGAATACGTCACGGGGAGCATGCCAGGCTTTGCCAGACTTTGCCGTGCGGATGCGATACTCTTGGTAGCTTGGGCCCAACGAGAGGGAGGGAGGAATCGAACTCGGGTTGGCCATATCAGCCGCGTGCAAGGCAGACGCCCTACCTCTGTGCTATCGCTCCAGCAGTAAACAATTATCTCCCAGTAATTTTAACAACTACAACATACACAATATGATTGATTATTATTACTAGCTAACATTTGTTGAGGACTTACTCTGAACCAAATACTAAGTGCTTTACATGTTTTGTATGATTTAGCTTTGCATATTTTATTTTATTTAGTCCATTGTAAATGCAGAAATAGGATACCTGCATTTTAAAGATGAGGAACTGAGATTCAAACCAAAAATGAATGGTCCAAGGTCACATACAGAATTCAGGGGATAGTGAGGATTTGAGTCCCGTGTCTATCTGACATTAAAGCTTATCCTCTTTTTTTTAAATTTTTATTAGTGAAACACCATGAGGTACATTTGTAGGCTTACAAATTTTTGTGCTTGGATTTCAGTTATACAATGATTGAGTACCCATCCCTCCACTGGTGCCCATTCCCCACCTCCAATTCTCCCAGCATCCCTACCACCTCCACCCTCCCCAACCCTGTGGCAGGGCATTCCCTTTTGTTCTCTCTCTCCTCTTGGGTGTTGTGGTTTGCAAAAGAGGCATTGAGTGCCAATCATGTTCAGTCTATAGTCTACTTTCAGCATGCATACCTCATCCTGGGAGGATCCTCCCTGTCCTCTTTACCATGTCCTTTGCCAGATACTCTCAGAACTATAGAACTCTGAGACCTTTCAAACCTCAGTCACCACCCCTATCCATTTGGTATGCTGCCTCCTGATGCTCTCTTTCTTCTTGCTTACATTCAAACACCTTTGAGTATATAACCTAGGAAGTATATACATTTGCACATTTGGCAGTCATTCTTCCATTGTTTTCTGTGAGCTAGTCCTGTTGCTTTGGAATATTCACACCCGGGCTCAAGGAGATGCCCTCATTTGACTGATACTTTATTTATTAGTGTATTAATTATACTAATCACACTCTGTACTAATGAAAGTTCAGGAACTGTGAATGTTATTCACTATTCTATATATATAGTACTTAGAGTAGTACCTAACACGCTGTCCTCACAATTATTTATTGAACAAGTGAATGAGGAGATGAATATCTGATGGGATGAATGAATGAACCGATAAGTGTGTGAACAATGGTAGGCTGTGAGAGCAGTGAGGATAAGTGTTCCACAGTCAGGAAAGGTGATTCTGTGACTAGTTTTGTCATAGAGAAAAGCCTAGAGAGGTGCTTAAGTAGCAGTCTGAAGGCCAGATGGGCTTTATCTAAGAAGATCGTGGTGGAAACAACTTAAAGCCCAAACCTGTCTACACATTTTAAGCCCCTGGGAACCTTTTTAGAAACCCAGACCCAGCAAGTATCCCAGGGTAGATAAATCACAGCCTTTGGGGACTGCACACAGATAGTCATACCATTTTTTATTTATTGAAATATTCATTATTTTAAAACTATAAAATCTCTTAGCAAACTGGGATTAAATAGACCTTTATTAATTTAGTATAGGGCAATTATAAGCACCATGAATGAATACCATACTCAATGGCAAAGTGTGAGAAGTGTCAGGTGTATTTTTTTTTACTTTTCTGTAATCTTTTTTTAATTTAGATTTTTATTAGTGAAACACCATGAGGTACAGTTGTAGATTTACAAATTTTTGTGCTTGGGTTTCAGTTATACAATTATCAAACACCCATCCCTCCACCAGTGCCCATTTTCCACCACCATGGATCCCAGTATCCCTCCCACCCCCCATCCCCCCTGTCCCACCCTGCCTCTGTGGCAGGGCATTCCCCCTTGTTCTCTCTCTTCTTTTGGGTGCTGTGGTTTGCAAAAGAGGCTTTGAATGGCAGTCGTATTTTGCCTAAAGTCTACTCTCAGCACGCATCTCCCATCCTGGGAGGATCCTCCCTACACCCTTTATTTGGTGCTCCCTTCTCTATCTGAGCTGCCTTTTCCCCCAGCGTGTGCGGCTGGCCTCCAAGCCATGGAGTAAACCTCCTGGTACTTAAAACCTGGTGTTCTGCTATTCTTGGGTGTTAGTCTCCCAGATGTATCTTTTGACGCCTTCTGGGAGTTCCAGTTTGTAAAAGGTTTAGGAACCATCGAATACAGGGTAGACAAGAAATTGGCATCAGTCAGGGAATCAAGTTAAATCCTCTGCCACATTTTATTAATAAAGTTTTTTAGAAGTACAGCCACACCCATGGTTCTTATATTACAGATGACTCTTCATTCCATGGCAGAATAGTATTTGTTGTGACAGAATGTCTGGTTGGCAAAGATGGAAGTTTTACTATCTGGCCCTTTATAGAAAAAGAAAAGTGACATTTCTTGGGAGGACGTTGGTTGTGCAGAACCTAGTTCTTAATCTCTAAGAGAGTGACAGGAGTGAGTCCTCTGTGTCTCTTGTCCTTTGAGGTCGAATGTCAATGAACGGTTGGTGATCAGGGATAGAGACATTGATTGTGGCGCTGACTTCTTTGTGGATTGGCTTTTCTGTCATTAGTCATTTCCCCTCACAAATGAAGTTGGCAAATGATCCAGTATATTGTTATAAATGCAAATGTGATTTTGGATGGATGGGTGGATGAGTGAGTGGATGAAGGGAAGGAAAGTAAACCATAGTGCCAGTTACATTTTAGTCAGAAGGAAACATTTAATTTTTTTGTGGGGGGGTCACACCCGGTGATGCTCAGGGTTCACTCCTGGCTCTGCACTCATGAATTATGCCTGGCGATGCTCAGGGGACCATATGAGATGCTGGGGATTGAACCCAGGTTGGCCGCGTGCAAGGCAAATGCCCTACCCGCTGTGCTATCACTCCAGCACCAGAAGGAAACATTTAACAAGAGAAAATATTCAAAAATAGAATAAGACAGCATATTAAGATGTTCATGCTTCAGAGGTAGAATTTGAAAACATGTAGGTTAGGAAGAGCTGAAATAATAAGGGTGGGCTCTATAGGAATAATTAATAGCCACAGAATGTTTAGAAAAATTTAGGCACTTTCATGTCAATAACTCACTTAACCTCTGAAAAAAACTCCTAAGAGATTATTATTGTATATCAATTTCTCTGTAGTTTTCTGTTCTGGATTTTGGGATGAGGAAAGGTTCAGAGAAAGTACTTTCTCTAAGAGCTCAGAGATGCTAGATGGTGTGGACAAATTTAGATCCAGCCTTAGTTTCTAAGGCTGTTTTTTGTATACCAACATTTAGTTTTGGAATAAGGCAGAGTCAGACCTCTGGGTGGACCTTGGTGGTTATAAGTGCATAGGCTGCGGAGTGGAAGGGCCATGATAGCTTCACTGCTAGGAATTCTTAGATTGTTTATTTGCCTGTTAAAGTCACAATGTGTAATATATTCAAGTAAATGTGTTTTCCCCCTCTTCCATTTTCCCTTTTCTAGAATAATGAAGAAGGTTGTTGGAAACCGGTCAGGCTGCCCAACTGTAGGTGACAAAATTGTTGAGCTAATCTATATTGATATTGTAGGACTTGCTCAGTTCAAGAAAACGCTGGGACCATCTTGGGTTCATTACCAGTAAGTACCAAATGCTGTTACTAGGTTTTTAGACTTGGTATTTTTTAAGAGGATGATATGGTTTAGATAGAAAATACTTATCAAATATTATCATTTGAACTATGACTTTATTTCTCATTTCTAATTGAAATTCACAGTATCTTCAGTGAGTTTTTACTTTCAAGGGCTATTCATTATTTTTATTGATTTCTTTTAAGAATATAAATCAAGTGTCAGCCCTCATTTTTACCTTCCCTAATTATTAGCATCCCTCTCCTATGCCTGCACCAGTTATATCTGTTTAATAAAAAAAAATATTGTGATACTCGGACAGTGCCATTATTTGTATTCCCTAGATTTGAAATGATGATTTATTTCTCTTCTCTTTTCCCTGATCAGTATGCTTGTCATTTTGGGAAAGAAAAGCTGGGACTACCTTGTGTAAATGCTGATTTGTTATTTTATGTTTGTTAAGATAAACCTCATGGGGGGCCTAGAAATAGTCGAGTTAGTAGGTCACTTGCCTTATGTGTGGATGACTCAGATTTAATTCTTGGCACCCCATATGATTTCCCCAAGTCCCAGCAGGAGTGATCCCTGGTCAAAGAGCCAGGAGTAACACCTGAGTACTGCTGGGTATGGTCCCTAAAATATATATCTAATAAATTAAAAGGATACATTTCAGTCTCATGCTTAGTATAATGTGTGTTCAAGTAATATTCTGTGCGATCTTCATTATTTAGTGGAGGACCTCAGCGTTCCCTGAGTGGGAAGGTTCGGGACCAGGATGTATTATTTGCAATTATTTTACATGGTATATAAGTGTGGTACTATGAAACATTAAATTATATAATAAACATTTTTTTTAATTTTTCTCTCAGTCTTTCTCAAAAAGGGATAATTTCTTGCCACTGTATTACCAACACTTCTTGTAATACTTCTGTTTTAACTAGTTGAGAGTAGTTATTCTTCTGCCTTCAGTGGGCTAAAGTATCTAGTTTCAATTAAATAATACTTTTGAAAGAAGAATTAAAGACTTTTTTATTATCTTCCATTTATTTGATACTTTTTTATTTGGTCTGTGAAGACTGCTAAAAAGTATTAAAGGTCAAAGTAATTTTAATAAATATGCTTTATTTAATAATGTCAGTGGTACATGAATTTGAGTAAAAATTGTGCTGTTCCCACCATTTTGACCAACTGACAGTACATATTCACCTATAACTTTAACTACTTTCCTAATAGAAGGTGTTGAAATCTTCTATAAGTATATCTTAGAAATCTCTACGTGCTTTTATTTTTATTGTTATTGGGCAAAGAGGTATTTTAGTGTGCTCTTCAAAAAAAATAAATAAAACACAGAAAAATAGGACAAAGATACAGCTCAATGGGCTGAGCACATGATTTGTATACAGACCTGGGTTTGATCTCTGGCACTGCATGGTCGCCCCAGACCCTACCAGGAGCAATCCCTGAGCACCACCAGCCCCCTCCTCAAAAAGACAAAAACGGGGGCTGTAGTGATAGCAGAGCGGGTAGGGCATTTGCCTTGCATGCGGCCGACCCGGGCTCTGATTCCCAGAATCCGATATGGTCTCCTAAACACTGCCAGGAGTAATTCCTGAGTGTAGAGCCAGGAGTAACCCCTGTGCATAGCCGGCTGTGACCCAAAAAGTTAACAAAAAAAAAAAAAGATAAAAACATTTTAAAAAAATAAACAAGAGTCCTGCAGAGATAGTACCAGGATTTAGACTCCAGCATCCCATATGCTCCCTCACCAGAGTAATCCCTGGGTAGAGTCAGAAGCAGTCCCTGAGCACAGTTGGGTGCAACTCCAACACCTTTAATTAATTGATTATTTACTTAATTAAACGATCCCATAATGATTGAAACTAGGTCTTTTAATTTTAGGGTAGTTTGTCACTGTCACTGTCCTCCCGTTGTTCATTGATTTGCTCAAGCGGGCCCAGTAACATCTCCATTGTGAGACTTGTTACTGTGTTTGACATATCGAATACATCACGAATTGCCATGCAGACACGATACTCTCGGTAGCTTGCCGGGCTCTCCAAGAGAGGCGGAGGAATTGAACCCGGCTCGGCCGGGCTAGCCGCATGCAAGGCAAACGCCCTACTGCTGTGCTATCGCTCCAGCCCTAGGTTAGTTTATAGTTTAATATTATCAGTTATGTCTGATCAGAAATCCTTTAGAAATGAGAAATATGGGAAATGTCAAAATAATCAGAATGTTTAAAACAACAACAACATAGAGTGGGGGAAGCTGCCTTTTTTCTATAGAATTTTCTTATAATATTCTTCTAGTAGCAATGATTTTCTCATTTCACTCTGAAATGCTAATGGGCAGAGGAAAGAACCTGGTTGAAAAAACATTGTGTGCTTTTTACTTCCTTTTGAATGTAGTTAATTAAATATATATGTATGTTTATACACACACACACACACACACACACACACACACACACGGAGAGAGGGAGGGAAGGAGGGAGAGAGGTTTGGAAGGGACCAGGTAGATAACTAAAGAGATAGAGCACATGCCCAGCATATGCAAGGCCCTGAGTTCACCCACTGGCACAACCAGGTGTGTCCCTGGTGACCTCTGAGCACTTACCAGATCCAAGCAGCCCCAGACTGCCCGTGTCCTGGACATCAAACTGTCCAGTTTGTAGCACCAAGATGAGCATCAGAAAGTGACCTTCAGCACCCTCAAACTCTGTCAAGCGTAGTGTTTTTTAAAAACAAAAATACTGGTTTGAGTAAGAATAGCAGTGAAAACTTCAGTTTCAGGTCTTTCCTATCTTACATTGTTATTATTTTATTACTTTTTTATTATTATTACTTTGATTTTTCTTAAACACTTTATGAAAGACAGTCCATCAAATTTATTCTCAGTTATGCAGAAATAACAATCTTTTCTCTTGCTTAGAAGCTATGTAAATGATTTTTTTTTCCTACAGCATTAAAATAAGACAGAAAGCCAGCACTGCTCTTTTCTGGCCTTTCTGAGAGTGCCATGCATCTGATAAATGTGTGAGAAGAACCTGGCATTCTGGGTATCACAAGACTCACATATCCTTGCCAAACAGAAGGGCTGTCTGCATGGAAAAATACTCTTAGTGGTAGTGTTTAGGTCGATTATAAAGGACGATTTCATTATTAAAATGAGCACTGATATGCTTGCTTGAGCACTGATATTTGATTCTTGTTGGGTGAAAAGGCTCTCAGAAGGGGATTTAATGCAAGAGAATAATGTTAATCTCTCCTTTCTTTAATACACCACCCATGTTACTAATACTACTTTGAAGGAGGTTTGTTAGTAACTTTGACCTGTATTTTGGCCATGTGATGAAACTAAGATTTGGTCTGAAAGCCAACACAGGAACTCTGAAATTTCCTCGTCAGCCTCTTTCACCTTTTGAAGATTAGAAATTATTAGGGATTTCTCTCTTCATCATCTTGGTTGCAAGTAGATGTGCTGAATTTCATTAAATATAAATTTATCACCTGGTCTTTGATTTAGGAGTGAACACTTAAGTCATGTTGATCTTGGAACAACTATTTGTAAATTCAGTTCCTTTTTTTTTTATTGGAACCTAAGAAATCTGCTTTCACATTAGTTTGATATCTGTGTATGACAACATATTATTATTAAGTACTGCAAATCACAGATGCATTTGGTTTCACTCGAGGCGTTTGCTGAGCCTCAAGGACACATAGGAAAGTGAGATGCAAATGGTCCAACATAGACTGTGTTTTACATCAAACTCCAAATCAGAAAGTAGATCCTGTCAAGGGTGAGAGCGGAGAGAGTCGTGTTCCAGGACTCATCTGACATTGCTGCTGCCTCCTTCTTAGGGCGAGACCAGCTGCCTTGGGCAGAAAGGCGAATTATCTTTTAAAGTCATCAGTCTGTTTTTGATGCTTGAGACACAAGGATGATGTCAGAGGAGCAACATAAATATTAACAGCACCCACAAACACACACACACACACACACACACACACACACACAGATCCACAGCACACAGAGGCAGAGAATGACTGAAAAAAGGAAACTAGAATGTTAAGCCTCCCCTCTTATAGACAGAGATCAGTTCTTTGCCTCTGGTTTAAAACAACAACAACAACAGCAAAATCAGATAAGCTGAGAGAGAGAGAGAGAGACAGTTCCAAACCAAAGCTTCAAAGTAGAGTCATATTGAATTAGAAGTTTCTGTGCTGTCTGATTATTCATTCTGCATTCTTGCCCTCAGGAAGCCCAGCATCATGGTTGCTTGGTTGCTTACTTCTAGGTGCTTTGTCTAAGTGCAGACTTACAGTAATCAGCTTCCTATAGGCATCTTTCCACACCATGGTATTTTAGTTTTCTAAATTTAAAACACCAACAGTAGAAATCCCAAGTTAAAAATACTCAAAAGGGCTAGAGCAGTAGCACAGTGGGGAGGGCTATCGCTCTGTTGAACCACTGACCTGGGTTCAAGCCCCAGCATAGCAGGGGCTATGTGAGCGCTGTGAGCACTGCCAAGAGACATTCCTGAGTGTAGAGCCAAGAGTAATTCCAGAGCCTTGTCAGGTGTGACCCAAAACACCAAGAATAAATAAATACACTACTCATAAATCTGAGCTAGAGAGGAATATAGACTATTTGATTTGATTGCAAAGATGTGAACAAACCAAAGCTTTTCAGACAAAAAAGCCTATGACAGGAGCCCCGTTTCTCCCTGCTGAGATGCTGTAAGCGTTCCTTTCCAGTGCCCTCCTGACTGGGCTGAACCTTCCATGGTCCCGGTTTTCCTTGGGCGCCTGTACACGTTCCTTCCTCCTCTGGCAGTTCCCTTCTTCAGGGTGATCTCTGCTGCTTTCTAAATACTGCCATCTCCCAAGAAAACAGATTAATTAGCTTCAAGGAGTCCCTTCTGTGACTCATTTTAAAAGGAAAGATGATAAGTAAAGAAATGGAGGTGCTGAGGCCCGAAAGATAGTATACAGTGGGTGGGGCTCTTGCCTTCCTTGAGGCAGACCTGGGTTTGATCCCTGGCACTGCCTATGGTCCCTTGAAGTAACCCAAGACTGATCCCATTTCAGCACTGACTCCTTTCTTGTAACTGACTTTTCTTTGGCATGCTAAACCAGTGGTCAGTGGCTTTTTTAGAAAAAAAAAAAAAGGAAGATTTTAAGCTTGCGGGGCTAGAGAGATAAGATATAGAAACTAAGGTTCTTGCCTTGTATATTGTATATCTTGCCAGGTTTGATCCTTGACAACCCAAATGGTTCTCCCAAGGCTATTAGGAGTGATTCCTGTGCTGAGAATCAGGAGTAAGCCCTAAGCATAGTGGGTGGGGTGTGGCCCTACACACCCTCTCCCCCCAAAAAAGAGTTTTTAAGCTTTCCCAACCTGCTGATCCCATTTCAGTAGTGACTTCTTTCTTGTAACTGATTTCTGCTGGTTTCTGTTCTAGCGACTCAGCTCCGGTTTCCTTGTGTGTAAATAGCTCTAGAGATTATGTGAATATATCAACTTCTCGAATGGCTCTGTTGTGAGGCGCAGATCACTTTTTTTAATGCCCCGTGTTGCATTTCGTAGGGTTTTCACATCACAGAATATTCTTATTCAAGAACCATTTAAAATTATAAAGATCCCGTTTAGCTCACAGTCTACACAAAAATCAGCTGTAGACCAGATTTGATGATAGACCTACCCGGGTCTGAGATTGTGATGGAGGGGCCCCATGAAGCATCTTTAATTTCCTTTCTTTGGGCTCCAGCAAAAGCAGTAATGTTCTGCAATTCTAAGCACATAAATACCACCCTAACTTAATGAACCAGAGTGTGGTTTTACCTAAAACCTCATGCTCTGAGGAAAATGTTGAATGATTATTGAGTGACCAGCATGCTGTGTGCTTTAAGCAGAGTCAGACCTTTGTCCAGTTTGTCTATTATAGGAAAATACCATAGTGGGTGCCTTATAACAGCATGTATTTATCGCTCACAGTTTTGAAATCAGAGTGCCAATTAATCAAGCGCTCTCGTCCTGCTCTCTTCTTATTGACTCCTCACATAATGGAAGGGTGAGAAGATTCTGCTTTTCTGAGAGTGCTCAGTCCATCCTGGGGCTCCACCCTCGGGACCTAATCACCTCCCAAAGCCCTACTTTTATGATCATTGAACCCCTTTGGGGTTTAAGATTTTTTAAGATTTGAATAAGTGGATTTACATGGAGGGCCATAAAAATGCACCTTCTATAAAGGAATATTGGCTCTCCAACACTTGTTCATTAGGCAGTGCTCTGTGCTTCGCTCATTGCCACAGTGAACTTGGAAGCCTGCAGTGCTAATTTCCATGGGACTTGATTTTTTTTTTTTTTTGGAATCACTGTGAGATACAGTTACAAAGCTTTCATGTTTGAGTTTCAGTCATACAGTGATCAAAAACCCATCCCTCATCCTCATCCAGTGTACATTTTCCACCATGAATGTCCCCAGTATCCCCCCATCCCACCCCTCCCCTACATCTGTAGCATTGTCCTCCTGTTGTTCATAGATTTGCTCGAGTGGACACCAGTAATGTCTCCATTGTGAGACTTGTTACTGTTTTTGGCATATCAAATACGCCATGGTTACTTGCCAGGCTTTCCCATGAGGGCGGGATACTATCAGTAGCTTGCCAGGCTCTCTGAGAGGGGCAGAGGAATCGAACCCAGGTCGGCCATATGCAAGGCAAATGCCCTACCTGCTGTGCTATCACTCCAGCCCCCTCCCCTCCATCCTCCTACATCTATGGCAGACAGTTTCCCTCTAAATTGAGTCACAGTGAGATACAAGTTACAAGGTTGGTCATGATTTGGTTTCAATTGTATAATGTTCCAAGATCCATCCCTTCACTGTTGTACATTTCTCACCACCAATGTCCCTAGTCTCTCTCCCTCCCTCCCTCCCTCCCTCCCTCCCTCCCTCCCTCCCTCCCTCCCTCCCTCCCACCCTCCCTCCTCTCTCTCTCCCTCTCTCTCCCCGCTCTCTCCCTCTCCCTCTCTTTCTCCCTCCCCCCCCCATTTTGGTTTGCAATACACAGACTGAAAGGTTATCATGTATATCCCTTTATCTACTTTCAGCTTCAGTTCTTGTCCTGAGTGATTATTTCTAACTATTATTGTCTTATTGGTCCCTTCTCTATCCTAATTGTCCTCTGCTCACCCCCCATACTTGTGGCAAGCTTCCAACCATTGACCAGTCCTCCTGGCCCTCATTTTCCATGGAACTTGATTTTGCTGGAATTTGAATACTTTTCTATGTTTAATCAGCAATAGAAGCAAGTGATGCCTGGTGTATGATGCCTCAGGCTGGAAAATCACACATGGGAGATGTTGGTGACCCAGACTTCTCTGACCACTCAGTGCCTGCCAGCAGTGTCTCCAGTGAAGAGTTTGTCCCTGTGGGCTCCTCCCTGCAGAGTGTGAGGGTGTTTGCTCTCTGAATCTGAGGTCAGAGTTAGTCATTTTACTCATAGCAAATTTTTCTTTCAGGTGCATGCTCCGAGTCCTGGACTCCTTTGGCACTGAGCCTGAGTTTAACCATGCGAACTATGCCCAGTCGAAAGGCCATAAAACCCCATGGGGCAAGTGGAATCTGAACCCACAGCAGTTTTATACAATGTTCCGTGAGTATTCTGCTTTAGCCTCTGCTTTCCAGAACTCCACCAAATGTAGATAAGAAAGGAAAGTAGGCCGTCACAGTATTTAGGTCGTCCACAGGGCCCTTAGCTGGAGAAATGTGTGCCATTGAACCTTGTCCTTGGGAATAAATGGATCTTTTTTTAAAATTCGAATCGAAAGGTCATGTGAGCTTTTCTTTTTTTTTTTGTTCAAAGGAACTTAGAAATATTCTGGAGAAAAATGTTCAATATTGAGTTATTTCTATGACTGTTTGGGAAAAGTCTTTGGGTAGAGTTTGGATTGGCAAGTACTAAATATGTTTCATGCCACGCCATGCAAATGCTATTTAAACCAATCCTAGCTTCTGTTTGCTTTGTTTTTAATTTTTTTGTTGTTGTTGTTTTCAGGCCAGCCCAGTGATGTTCAAGCTAACTTTTTGCTCTGTGCTCAGGGGTCACTCTCGGCAACGTTCAGGGGGTCATGTGGTAACAGGGATTGAACCCTAGCCTCCTGCATACTAAGCATGAGCTCAGCCTTTGAGCTTCCTCTCTGGTCTGATTCTAGCTTCTTCGACTATTGGTCACTGCATGTATGGGGATGGGGAGAGGCTCATGAAATAATTGGACAGTCAAAGGTTTCGGAACACACAAAGACCAAACATTTTTTGAAAATCAACTGCTCAGTACAGTGGTCTTCAAATACCTATCCACGGTTCCCTGCTGGTCTACAGGTATAGAAAGGTGGAAAATCTCTGGTATAACTCCATTTATTATGACTCCAGGCCCATGAACTAGCATGTGGCACGTCCGCTATCCACAGGTGTAAGAGGATTGAAGAACACTGGCATCATGAACCTATTTTTGGCAGCACTCACTCATGTTGTATTTCTTGCCACTGCTCTAGATCAGTAGTTTTTAACCAATTTTCACATGTGTGGAGCAGTCCTGGTCCACAGACCATCATTTGGAAATCACTGCGCTAGATTATCAAGGACAGTGGAACCTTAATGGGCTTGCACCCCTCCTGATGTTGAAACCCTTTTTAGGAAAGCAACATACTTTATAAAGGAAAAAGCGGTTGGCCTTTCAAAAATGGGACTCTTTCAAATTCGTTGCATATTTTGCTGACTTAAACACTGCACCCAGAACAAAGTCTGACTCATGTGGTGTTGCTGCTTCCAGAGGGATTATTTAATGAGGTGATGTAGATGAGGCGCTAGATCCCTAATAGACAGTGAGCTTGCTGACCCCAACTTTAGGCTATTCAGATTTTTCTGTATCCATAAGGGTTTTTTTTTTATCCCACACAGTCATCATTTCCTATGGCTGCCATCCATTTGACCTACCCCCAGTCTCATTTATTAGCAACAAAGGATGGTGGAGCCAAATGCCAAATCTGATAGATTTTATTCCAAAAATATTTTGTATAGTTCGATTCCTCCACCCCTCTCGGAGAGCCCGGCAAGCTACCGAGAGTATTCGATATGCCAAACACAGTAACAACAAAGTCTCCAATGGAGACGTTACTGGGCCCGCTCGAGCAAATCGACGATCAACGGGAGGGCCTTTACCTTTTACCTTATTGACAAAAAAGAGTGGTGATGAGGTTAAGTCCTGTTCTGGAAGTGAAAGCTTCCATGAGATAATTCAATGAGTTTGATTTGATGTTCACTCTAGAGAATTCCCATGTGTTTAAAGGATCAGATGGTTTTAATCCAAGGTGTTCATCCTCCTATCATCTTTGAGGTGACCTACATTCCATCCCTGGCATCCCAGGTTCCAGGACTGATCCCAGGGCCAGGAGCAAGCCCTGAGCTTTACAAGGTGTGACCCCAAAACCAAATAAATAATCTGCTTAATTTAGGGCTGAAGAGGTAGCCCAGGGAAATAATCCTTGCCTTCCATATGCTGGCCCAGATTTTATCCCTGGCACTAGATATGGTCCCCTGAGAAATGCCAAAAGTGATCCCTGAGCTCAGAACCAGGAATAAGCCTTGAGAACAGCTGGGTATTGGTCCCCCCAAAAAACTCCCCAGAAATTTTGAAATCTGCCTGTTTTTAATTCACGTCCCCAACAACAGGTGAAGAATGGATAGAGAAATTGTGGTGTATATGCACAATGGAATACTGTTTAGCTTGCTTAATGAAGTGAGTCAAAAAGTAAAAGATAAAGAATAAATAATTTTGCTGTTGTGAGAAATATGAAGAAATAAAGAAAAGGAATAGACCATTCCAATGTAACCAACTCAGACATGATCAGAAGAACAGAATTAGAGAGTTTAGAAGGGACCTTGGGATAATGGTGGCAGCATCTCTGGCAGTGGAATTGGTGTAATAGCTCTGCAGATGTAAAAGAATAATATTGTAAGCTATGATATGTCAATTAAAAATCAGTCAAAATAAAACATATTACAAAAATCTTGTAATTGAACATATTTTAAAGTAGTTAAGTCAGAGATCTGTGAGGATATTCTATATGCATAGTAAATATTATTTTCATAATCATCATCATCAATTGTTGGAACTATATGTCCTGCTATTGCAACCTGTCTCTGAGACACAATTCAGGAAAGAAGCTAATATCAGGCACATTAGGCGACAGATGGCTTGTCACCGTGGTATGAGGTGTGATTGGAGCTAGCTTCTGGTTTGACTTTATTCCTTTGAGGGACTAGATGAAATAGTAAAAACGTTCCTAGAAGTTATCTGTACCTTATGTCAAATGAAGCAAAATGTTAGATGGATAAAATGACTGAAATTGCTTGAATGGCATGGATACATGCGCATCGGCAGTTGGTGTTTCTTTTACCTGGGGAATGAAAGGTGGGGAATTTTCCGGAATGTAAAAAGATCTCATTTTAGCAAGGTAGAGTTCTGTTTTTCATGGACAAAGGATTTTAACTGTGTATTGCTAGACTGAATTGAAGAAATTCGCTAATGGAGATGTAACTAGAGATGAAACTATTGATCTATTCTTATTAAGTGTGAAAAGGGTTAAGTTAAATTCAGCAGGATTTAGAGGGGAAAATGGGTACATTAAACTGCCTTTTAAAAAAGAACCTTTGTGAGGCCAGAGCGATAGCACAGCAGGTAGGGCATTTGCCTTGCATGCGACTGACCCGGGTTCAATCCCCCGCATCCCATATGTCCCCGAGCACCGCCAGGAATAATTCCTGAGTGCAAAGCCAAGAGGAACCCCTGAGCATTGCTGGGTGTGACCCAAAAAGCAAAATAAATAAATAAATAAAATAAAAAAGAACCTTTGTAGCAAAACAACAATTAATAAATAGTGCGTTAAGAAAATCTTATACTTGATATCACCATTGTGTTTTTAAAAATTGAAAAAAAATCCCAATCCAATAGGAAAAAGAACGAGCAAAAGCTATTAATATTTCAGAGGAAAATAAATGTATCGCCTCAAACACATAGCTATGTTAACCTCACTCACACGAAGAGAAATACATTTTAAAACTGCATCAAGACTCCATGTCCCATGTGTCAAGTTGGCAAAAACCCTACAATCTGTTGGCATAGCTGTTCTGATGCTGAGCCTTAGGAAATAAGACATTGCCTACCTTAGTGCTAAGAATGCAGCACAGAATGCAGCACAGAATGCAGCACTTCAACCCTGGGGTAGGGCATTTGTCTCAGGCTAGTAAAACTGCCTGTGCCTCTTTCCTTGGAGCTGATCATCTCTATGAATTTATCTCAAACATTGGTGAACTGAGATACAAACAACTCAACGTGGGCAGAAAGCTATTTATTATGACAATGTTTTTAATAGGAAAAGACTGGGAATAACACATAGGTTCATGATAGGGACTGAGTGAATAATGAAATCATCAGATGAGGGAAGTGTCACTTAACAGCCCTAAGTGATGGGGGTGGTTCTTCTCTGCTCTAGATGGAGACTTCTAGGATAAATTCAGTGATGAAAGGCAACTGTGTAGGGCCATATGGAGAAGTCAATCCTTTCCATATAAGAAGCATGTGATATGGGGCTAGAGAGAGATGGCACAGGTGCTTGCCTTGCATGCAGCAACCCAGGCTAGGTCCCAGCATCCCATATAGTCTCCTGAGTCCCACCAGGAGTGATCCCTGAGCACAGAGTTAGGAGTTAGCTCTGAGAATATCCAGGTGTGGCCCAAAACCAAAATGAAACAAAAACAAAAGCTGTGTGGTAGAATAAAGCATGTATATGTTAGTGTTTATGAGTCTGCATCTGCCTCTATTTTCAAAAGAAATATTAAAGGAACAAATAGCAAGTCAATAAAAATGAATACCACTGCAGAGAAGGGTATTTGGAGTCAGGTAGGAAATAAAAATATACTTTTATTAAATTCTGGAACCGTGTAATTATATTTCACGTAATGTAAATAGAAACATCAAAAAGAACACATTCACTGCAAACAGATTTAAAAAGAAACCAAACCTGGTGATATATCAGGTTGGTGAAAATCTCTCACCAATAATAATTATTATAGTAATATGGTATAATCTAATAAATGCATAAACTTACATATAATTTTATAATTAGAATTACATAACTATGTAAATATATTCTATAATTACATGTTATATAATTGCAGTATTTTGATGTTAAGGATTAAACTCAAGACCTCACACATGCTGAGCACGTTCTCTACCACTTAGTTTCATTTATGGATTCACCAATAATTATTTATACTGACTTTAAAATACAGTCTTTAGTCATGCTTTAATAGTGGAAAATTTACGTTACTATTATTTGAAATCTTTACAAGTGTAAAGTAACCGTGGGTTTCTGTATACAAGAAGAGAAAGGGCCTTATTATAAGTAACATTTATAATTTTGGGTTTGAATTAAAAATGTCATTATGAACTTAGTTTTTCAATTGACATGGAATTGTTTCTAGCTCTGTACTTTGTAAAGGACTAATTCTAATGGAAACCCAATCATAGTGAGTATCCTTAACATTTAGGTTAGGATTCCCTTGAATACCACTCCCACTAAAAGGAACCTCTTG